CCTTTGGAGGGAAAGCGTACCAGTACAGGGTCCTCCCCTTTGGCCTCGCTCTAGCGCCAAGGACGTTCACAAAGTGTATGGATGCTGCTCTGGCCCCGCTGCGGCTCCAGGGCATCCATATACTCAACTACCTGGACGATTGGCTCCTTTTAGCCCACTCCAGAGAGTTGGTGACTCACCACAGGGACATTGTCCTCCGTCATATTCAGTCTCTCGGTTTGAGGCTGAATACGGAGAAGAGCGTTCTTACTCCAGCTCAGAACACGGTTTTCTTGGGGGTATGCATGGACTCCGTTCTTATGCAGGCCCGTTTGGCTCCTGCACGGATTTCCAGTCTGGTGACATGTCTGTCCCGTTTCGCACTAGGCCAGCATGTTTCCGTGAGCACCTGCCGCAGACTTCTGGGCCTTATGGCCGCGGCCTCCCCTGTGCTACCTCTGGGGCTGCTCCACATGAGACCTTTTCTGTGGTGGATGAAGCTCTCAGGGGCTCGGCCCACGGGGCCAGCCTTTCGCCTATTGAAGGTGTCGCACAGTTGCTTTCGCGCCCTGTCAATCTGGCGGGACCCCCTCTTCCTTCAGAAAGGAGTCGGTATGGGTGCGGTATTCCGTCGCCAGATGGTTACGACGGATGCCTCTCTGACCGGCTGGGGAGCGGTTTTCGAGGGCAGGCCAGCGTGTGGGGTTTGGACTGGCGAGACCCTCTCGTGGCACATAAACAGCTTGGAGCTGAGGGCTGTCTTCCTGGCTCTTTGCCACTTTCTCCCTTTCCTCGAAGGACACCATGTCATTGTCAGAACGGACAATATGGCAGTAGTGTCCCATGTAAACAGACAGGGGGGTTCACGATCGCGCACCCTAGACAGGCATGCGCGTCACCTTCTCCTGTGGTCCCAGGACAAGTTCCTCTCTCTGAGAGCAGTTCATGTCCCAGGGATTCTGAACCTCGCAGCAGATTTTCTGTCGAGGCAGAAGCTCAGGTCTGGGGAATGGATGTTGAACCGCCAGTCGGTGGCCCTGATCTGGGAGGTGTTCGGAAAAGCGGAAGTGGACCTCTTTGCATCTCAGGAGTCGTCCCAATGCCCGCTTTGGTTCTCTCTGAGCCCTCCAGCTCCATCGGGGATAGATGCGTTCGCCCACCCTTGGCCGATGCAGAAACTCTATGCCTTCCCGCCCATCAAGCTGATCCAGGCGGTTCTGTCCAGAGTGAGGGAGAGCGGAGTCCGCCTCCTTCTGGTAGCCCCATTCTGGCCGTCCCAGCCATGGTTTTCGGAGCTGATCCCTCTGTTGGAATCCTCCCCCTGGGAGATACCGGTCAGGGAGGACCTGCTTTCCCAGCTTCAGGGCAGGATATGGCATCCTCGCCCCGACATTTGGAAGCTGTACGTTTGGCCTATCAGAGGCCGTTAGCTTTAAGCTTTGATCTCCCAACCGACGTTCAGGAGACTATTGCGAATGCTAGAGCCCCTTCGACGAGGAGGCTATATTCCTCCAAGTGGAGGGTGTTCGAGGCGTGGTGCTTAGCACATGATAGGAACCCAGTTAGCTGCCCAGTAGGCTCAGTGCTGGAATTCCTGCAGGAAAAGTTTGCTTCCGGAGCGGCCGCTACCACTCTCAGAGTGTATGTCGCAGCTATTGCTGCTCATAGAGAATCGGATGAGATTCCCTTGGGGAAACTGAGGTTAGTTTCGGCCTTCATGCGTGGGGTTAGGCGCCTGAAACCGGCTCGCCCCCCTAGTGTTCCCTCGTGGGACCTGTCAGTCGTCCTGGAGGGTTTGACAGAGGCTCCCTTCGAGCCCTTGGAGTCAGCTCCTGAGCGGATTCTGACTCTTAAGGTTGCTCTTTTGTTAGCTTTATCTTCACTGAAGCGGATAGGGGATTTGCAGGCTCTCTCTATTAGTGAGTCATGCTTGGACTTCGCTCCTGGCCTGGTTAGGGTTACCTTGAGGCCGAGGTCGGGGTATGTACCCAAGGTTCTTTCCACGGCGTTCCGCTCTCAGGTTGTTAACCTTAATGCTTTCCACCCTCCTCCTTTTGCCTCTGAGGAAGAAAGGAAACTTAACTTGCTCTGCCCGGTCCGTTCTTTGAAGTTGTATGTAGATCGCTCAAGCGGTTGGAGGAAATCAAACCAGCTCTTGGTATGTTTTGGTGCTGGCCGCCGCGGGCTTGCAGCATCAAAGCAGAGGATTTCCCACTGGGTAACGGACGCTATTTCGCTGGCTTATGAGGTGCGTGGTTTGCCTTCACCTCTTAGCATCAGAGCGCATTCCACCAGAAGTGTGGCTTCCTCTCAAGCTCTCTTTAGAGGGGCCCTCTTGGAAGACATTTGTGTGGCGGCAGGTTGGTCCTCTCCGCACACCTTTGTGAGGTTCTATAATTTGGATCTTGACATGACTCCAGGTTCCCAGGTTCTATCTGCTTGAACCTATCATGGTTGTTATTATTTGGTCTGGTACCGGTTATGGCAGCGCTTAGCTTGGCGAGTTTGGTATTTCGTTCCCACTGCGCTTTCCGCAGCGTTGAGTGAACCTATGAAAGAGAACGTCTCTGGTTACTTACGTAACCTATGTTCTCTGAATAGGGAACGAGACGCTGCGTTCGCTGCCAAGCTCCTCGCGCTGCCGACAGTTTTTTCTTTTCGGCAGAGAAATCTGAGGAGAAGATGGCGCGCGCGCGTACATCATGCTACGACGTAAGAGCGTCGGGGCGGAGCCAGCTTTGCGCGAGCGCCATCAGCCAATGGATTGGCGTGATTCTATAGGGCTTCAGGCAATCGGCACATCCAGAGGATATCCCACTGCGCTTTCCGCAGCGTCTCGTTCCCTATTCAGAGAACATAGGTTACGTAAGTAACCAGAGACGTTTTACCACCCCTTTAAGTCATTTCAGTGTCTCTAGTCCAGTGTATAACAGAGGAGAAATGACAGAACAATGATGTTCATTTACGCAAGACAATGAATTTACAACATTCAAAAACAAAAATGTTCCAATAACATTATATATTGTATTGTTTTCTATGGATTAGGTAAAGGAATTTCCGTTTTCAAAAGCACACCCTGTGAAGAATGGGATTGTTTAAGAAATGAAAGCGCTTATTCCTTTAGTCGAGGGTTTTAGAGGCCGTCACTGTGAGCGGCTTTGAACACATCTATTGGGAATGCCTCAACAAATAACAGTTAACAAGAAGTTTTATGTTACACTGTAAAAAACAATTTGTTGAGTCAACTTAAAAAACTTTGTTACCCCGCTGCCTTAAATTTTTTTGTCAACTTGACTTAGGGCTGGGCGATATATCGCACGATATTGTTATGCGCATCTCGTCAGTAAAGCCGGTTCCTTGATTAGTAGTAAATCACCTTCACCTGTTTTTCAGATGGAGCGGCATTTACTACAAAGAGCCGTAGTTAACTGACAAGCTGAGCCATATCGCACTAATATCGCGGACGTATCGCCAGCGATATTTAATGCGATATGGCTCAGCTTGTCAGTTAACTACGGCTCTTTACACAGCAAAAACTCCAGTGTTAAATGAACACACCTGGGAGCGTATATGAGTCCACACTCAAGAGTGTTAAAGTTAATGAGATATTTAAGTGATTAATTGAGTGATGATTGAGCATTATTGAAGACACCTAAAGCAGAATCACTGAAGAAGAAAACCGGAATTTCAGGTCACCATCATGGAGATGAGTGTTTGCTTTAGTTGGGCTCTTGACCCTTATATTATTAACTTTAGTTTTTGTTCAGCTGTTGTATCCGAGTCATACCTGCCAGATGAACAAAGAAAAACAATGATCTAATGGTATTGATTATATTATGACATTCATCATTTGAGCTAATTGTTTGTGATTAATGCTGTTGGTTACAGCATAACTGAGATTCTGCATAAATGTCCAGAATTTGTGATATAATATAAAAGATTTCTTTAAAAAAAAAAAAAAAAAAAAATCTTTGTTTTAGGCAGACACAGATATCAAGATTCAGTTAATGCATCTCAACAATGGTGATGAACAGAATATTCAATTAGGAAAAGTAAATTACAGAGACAATTCGGATCATAATTTATTCATACCGCAATGCATGATGGGAGCCATTAATGAGTTGTGATTGGTGGCAACAAGGATTATTATTGTCACCACGGTTGAGATTCACAGGCTGATTATTGATGTCTGCGTTTCTAAATAAATGCATTTGAAAGTGAATTGATCAGAACAATTTTTATTAAATGGTTTGGATTTTAAGAAACATACGATTATCATATGCTGTAGGACCACTAAACTGTTGCTATCAAATTAAACAAGATTATCTGAATGAGTTTCATTTTTCAGATCACAGCATGATTATGTCAAAACATAACCAACACTATCAGATCACACTTGTTTTTGTTCATTTGACTGTTATAAATCAATAACATCAGACAAACAAAATTTAAACTCAAAGTAAAAGGATCAAGAGCCCAACTAAAGCAAACACTGATCGCCATAACGGTGGCTTACAATTTTAGATTTTCTCCTTCAGTGATTCTGCTTGTTAACATCAGGTGTCTTCAATAATGCTCAATGATCACTAAATTAATCACTTAATTATCTCATTAACTTTAACACTCATATCTGCATCATATCTTCCATCTGAAAGCAGGTGAAGGCGATTTACTACTAATCAAAGAACCGGCTTTACTGAAGAGACGCGCATAACAATATCGTGCGATATATCGCCCAGCCCTACAATATATGGTGTATGTGCAATTGTATCAACATGCGTTTTCTAGTTGAAACAACAGTTATACTAGTTAATTCAACTTTTAGCTTAGTTGAGGACAATTAAACTTAAATGTTCTTGTTGTCTGGACAATTTCTACAAATTTAGTTGTGTCTACAAAAAAAAAAAAAGTTGAAATGGCAATTATTTTTTACAGTGTATTATTGCTGTGACTGTTACATTTTCATGATTCACTTAATATACTCAGTGTGAATATCTGCACTATAAAGTATGTGGACTCACTCATCTGTGATCTGATGTTTTCTCTCTGTTTTTCCATCCTCTTCATTCGTTCTTCTGCTCTCTCTTCCTGTGCTATTTTTCTCTTTTCCACGTCTTGTAAAATCTTTCTGTTTATTTCAAAATGGCGGCCATTGTTTTGTGCCACTGTCTCCTCAATCTTCTCCAGCAGCTCCTTGATCTGAGTGTCGTCACTCCTGTTGCGATTGTTGAGAACATGATACCTGTTCCCACATTTGTCCACCAGCCGCTGGAGATCCTGTCCTTCACTCTCGATGTGTTGCTCTATAGATGTGTCTGACAGAGAGTCTCCACCAGTGAACAGCACTATAGTGTGACTCCAGACTCTCTCACTGAGAAGATCCATATGACCCTGACATGCTTTTCTCTCAGTCTCTTTAAATCTATAACCCACATCTATGATCAGTAGTACAGCGTGTGGTCCTGGAGGACACAGAGACACACTCAGCACAATCTCCTGTTTCAGTCTCTCAGAACTCTTCTCTACAGTGCGATTCTTCCACCATCCTGGAGCTTCAATGACAGTGATGAGTCTGTCTGCTACTTCTCCATGTCTCCTCACACACTGAGCAGATCTCTTCAAGTCAAACTCGTCTCTGCCCAGGATGGTGTTTCCTGATGAACTCTTACCATCAAGTTTGGTCCCCATCAACACAATCCTCAGCTCTGAGAGATGTCGAGCGTCACCTGCAACAAACAGAGAACAAACACACTTCTTAAGGCGAGTGACATCTTAAATCTTCTTAAGTAATCTCTCTTAGTGAAAAAGGGGTTCTTGAAATAAAGTTTACTGTATCTGTATGAGTGTCAAACTACACGTTATTGATTAAAAATGACACATAAGTGTATCTCACTTTAATTAAACTCCTAAATCAGAGTTGCACAAAAGTTATTGATGGACAATAATTGTGAATTATAGAAAAGAAAATAGCTTAATTTTAATGATCCGCACACAAAACATAACAGATCACAGAACACACAGATTAAGCAAGACTAAATACCAAATAGCTTGTAAAAAAAACAATATAATGGGTACCATTCTGATCTGGTCCTCTCAAAAACAAGATCAAAAGACATTTAAGTCATTTCAGTGTCACCAGTCCAGTGTATAACAGAGGAGAAATTACACGAAACAATGATGTTCGTTTATGTTAGACAATGGATCTAGAAAATTCAAAAAGAAAAATGTTCAAATAACATTATATATTGTATTGTTTTCTATGGATTAGGTAAAGGAATTTGCATTTTCAAAAGCACACCCATGGGATTGTTTAAGAAACTAAAGCGCTTATTTTCTTTAGTCAAGGGTTTTAGAGGCCGTCACTGTGAGCGGATTTGAACAAATCTAGTGGGAATGCCTCGACAAATAGCAGTTAACAAGAAGTTTCATGTTATTATTGATGTGACGGTTACATTTTCATTATTTACTTAATATACTCAGTGTGAATAACATCTGTGATCTGATGTTTTCTCTCCGTTTCTGCATCCTCTTCATTCGTTCTTCTGCTCTCTCTTCCTGTGCTCTTTTCCTCTCTTCCACCTCCTGTAAAATCTTTCTGTCTATTTCAAGATGGCGGCCGTTGTTTAGTGCCACTGTCTCCTCAATCTTCTCCAGCAGCTCCTTGATCTGAGTGCCGTCTCTCCTGTTGAGATTGTTGAGAACATGATACCTGTTCCCACATTTGTCCACCACCCGCTGGAGATCCTGTCCTTCACTCTCAATATACTGCTCTATAGATGTGTCTAACAGAGAGTCTCCACGAGTGAACAGCACTATAGTGTGACTCCAAACTCTCTCATTGAGAAGATCCAGATGATCCTGACATGCTTTTCTCTCAGCCTCTTTAAATATATCATCCACACGTATGATCAGTAGTACAGCGTGTGGTCCTGGAGGACACAGAGACACACTCAGCAAAATCTCCTGTTTCAGTCTCTCAGGACTCTTCTCTACAGTGACATTCCTCCACCATCCTGGAGCTTCAATGACAGTGATGTGTCTGTCTGCTACTTCTCCATGTCTCCTCACACACTGAGCAGATCTCTTCAAGTCAAACTCCTCTCTGCCCAGGATGGTGTTTCCTGATGAACTCTTACCAGCTCCTTTATACCCCATCAACACAATCCTCAGCTCTGAGAGATGTCGAGCGTCACCTGCAACAAACAGAGAATCAAACACACTTCTTAAGGCAAGTGACATCTTAAATCTTCTTAAGTAATCTCTCTTAGTGAAAAATGGGTTCTTAAAATAAAGTTTACTGTATCTGTATGAGTGTCAAACTACACGATATTGATTAAAAATGACACATAAGTGTATCTCACATTAATTAAACTCCTAAATCAGAGTTGCACAAAGGTTATTGATGGACAATAATTGTGAATTATAGAAAAGAAAATAGCTTAATTTTAATGATCTGCACACAAAACATAACAGATCACAGAACACACAGATTAAGCAAGACTAAATTACAAATAGCTTCAGAATAATGTTTTCAGAAAGTATATTCTTTAAAAATAATAAAATTGGCCCTCTAAACCAGTGAATAAATCTCTCTCTTGTTCACAGTTATCAGTTTCAGTGCACTGCTGGCCTTTAGCACCATTAAATACATGAATGTATTACATTTACATTCATTTAGATGGAAAGAAAGCCAAAAAGACAATTTGTAACTGCCTATAATTATTAAAGACTTTGAGAAAAAACTAAGCCGAGCCGAAAGTGGCATAAACAGATCCAAAATCGTATCTGTAGACCAATATGAAAGTGAAAGCATTAGAGGGGTGGTAAAACACGATTTCACTTTTCTAACTTTAGCTAGTGTGAAATGTTGCTGTTTGAGCATAAACAACATCCGCAAAGTTACAGCGCTCAAAGTTCAAAGCTAAGGGAGATATTTGCTTTTGAAGAAAAGGACTACAACAAATGGCTGGTTGGAACTACACGACATTCCTCCAGGGTTAGTGACATCAGCAACCCTAAAATGTACATAAACCCCGCCCCCGGGAACACGCAGTCCATGTTGAGAAGAGGAAAAGTTGTTGTATAAGAGTCAGCTCAAACTTTAGCATCCTTCTTTTCACATGCAATAAAAAGTCATCTGTGTGCATCTCACAACAGTTCCTATACGAACGATTTATAGATTATGACAGAATATGCTAATTGAAGATAGTTAAAAGGTACAATATGTAGGATTTTTGCAGTAAAATATCCAAAAACCACTAGGCCAATGTTATATGTTTTGTTTAGTTGATTACTTACAATATCCCAAATGTTTCAAACTATGTGTAAATCGTGAGAAAATTGCGATTTTAACCAAGGAAACGGGACGTGTGAGCAGGGGTGAGGAGTCACCAGTCAATTACGTCATATCCGTGTTAGCATCGGTTTCCGCCAGGTTTGCGCTCGTACTGTCATAGTAACCATGGCGACAGACGTTGACAACTGGGTTATGCCCGTTATGCCTAGCAGGACGCTCACGCTGTTGTTGTTTTGTTCAAACATTATGGGCCATGGCAAGCAGACTTTGAGACAAAAAGAGGACTAAAACGAAGATCAACATCTTTCGAGATGCCGAGAGCTCCACGTCCGCGACTAACTTCGACTTGACAGAGACGCGAGTGTAGCATGTACTTTATTAGACAGGTGAGCAAATGTACATAAAACTATCAATGTTATTTAGTTCAACATGATGAAATGTTAGAATATGATCTGTATGTTCCGGGCTCGACATAAGCAATGGCCCGATGGCCCGGGGCCAGTAAAAGAGTATGTCGGGCTAGTTGATTGGCCAGTCACTGGCCCGCGCCTGACCATCAGCATAACAAACAGCAAACGTCATACACAGTGGCGCGAAGAGTGTCAATGTTACTTCAGGTTCCCTTTCAAGGCGGTCACTTCGACATTTACGTCGATGACGTAGTATGGGAACTCCTCCCCTTCTTCACTTCTGCTGAAATCTTATGGGCTAACGCCAGCTGGAGACAGCTGGCCAATTGATGCAAAATATGCAAATACTGACACGCCTGCTGGCAGTATAAATTGCATACGCTCGTCAATTGCATCAGAATCCTTTTCTTCACGCTCAAATCGACGTGTGCTTTCGAATTGGAAAAATACTCTACAAAAAAACTCGCCATCGTCGAAGGTGCATCTAAAGATACCTCACTGTCTTTGGCATCCGATGGCATCCATCTGCAACTTGTGCTCGGGGCCTATTGTGGCGCCCGACACCCACTTGTTCTGCGTCGCCTGCTTGGGCCTGGCCCACGCCGAGACGGCCCTGTCAGACGACCTCATGTGCGCCCACTGCGCGGACATGCCAGTGCTTTGAATCGCGGAGTGGATATGCTCTCGAGGAATGGGATTCCTCATGGAGAGTGGAGGCTTCACCCGGGATCGGTGCAGATGATCTGGGATCGATTCGGGAGGGCGGAAGTCGATCTGTTGGCCTCGAGCGAGAACACGCACTGCCAGGCGTTCTTCTCGCTGTCTCGTTCCCCCTTGGGACGGACGACCGACGGCTTGACTTCGCGCTGGCCGAGAGCCAGACTTTACGCCTTTCCTCCGGTGAAGATTCTGCCTACAGTGTTATGCAAAATCAGGGAGGAGAAAGCGTCTGTGATTCTCGTAGCCCCGAACTGGCCGAATCAGCCCTGGTTCGCGGACATGATGGAATTACTAGTGGACTCCCCGTGGGAAATTCCGCTCAGGAGAGACCTGTTATCGCAGGCGAACGGCACAGTATGGCACCCCAACCCCGGGCTGTGGAACCTTCATGTATGGCCGCTGCGGGGACTCTGAATGAGCGGGACGCTCTGCACTCTCGAGCGATGAGCACTATCTCTGAGGCGCGCGCCCCATCCACTAGACATTTATACAAATTGAAATGGGAAGTTTTCTCTAAATGGTGCCAGGATATCAGTATTGACCCGGGTAACTGCACCGTGTCGGATATTCTACGCTTCCTTCAGCACAGGATGGATAATGGGAGTTTACCGTCCACTCTGAAGGTGTATGTGGCTGCTATTTCTGCGTTTCACCCCCCAATCGAAGGACAGTCGATCGGTAAACATGCGTTGGTGATCAGTTTTCTCAGGGGAGCTAGGAGATTATGTCCGTCACGGCCGCCTTCTGTGCCGCCGTGGGATTTAGCCCTAGTGTTGAGGGCTCTGTCTCTTCCACCGTTTGAGCCACTGGCTTCGATTGCGATCAAGGAGCTTTCCCTGAAAACTGCTTTGCTTCTCGCTCTTGCTTCAGCAAAACGTGTGGGGGACCTACAAGCGTTCTCGGTTCACGAGGACTGCATTCGTTTTGGACCGGGGGATTGTAATGTCGGCCAAGACAGGGTTACGTTCCGAAGTCACTCAATACTCCGTTCAAAGCGCAGGTTGTTTTACTGCCTGCGTTGTCTTCTGAGTCGTCAGTCTCGCGTGATACTGATGCTCAGAGCGCTGTTTGCCCAGTCAGGGCTTTACGGATGTATATGACTCGCTCAGCCGCTTTTCGTCAATCGGATCAGCTATTTGTGTGCTTCGGCGGTTGTAACAAGGGACGTGGAGTTTCGAAACAGAGGCTTGCTCACTGGATTGTGGATGCTTTGGCTTATGATTGCCAGGGGGTGGTCTGTCCCCTCAACATTAAGGCTCATTCGACGAGGGCGATCGCCTCTTCGTGGGCCTGGTCCAGAGGTATGTCTATAAGGGACTTGTGTCTTGCTGCTGGCTGGTCTTCTCAGAATACATTCGCCAGATTTTATAAGTTGGATGTACCTTCTGTTGCGTCTCAAGTGCTTTCGGTGAGCTGAGCCTTCAGGTTGTGCATGAATGCTTGATTTATGTATTGTGCTTATGCAATTGTCGCCGCTTCGCTGCTGACTTGTATTACACTTGCTATTATATTGTGTTGTTCTGCCCTGAATGATTCAGTGCAAGACTTCCCTCTATTTCATTTGCTTGGGAAATGCAAATTTTTATGAGGTTTAGAAAGTGCGCTATTGGCTCGCTTCGACCTATCAGGAGCTCGTATTTCTAGTAGCACAGCTATTGGATGAGGGTTCTGTCATTCTCGAGTGGGTGGGTTCACTGCTCCACGGCGGGATTTGACACAGTTCCCATACTACGTCATCGACGTAAATGTCGAAGTGACCGCCTTGAAAGGGAACGTCTCCGGTTACTTTTATAACCTCGGTTCCCTGAAAGGCAGGGAACGAGACATTTACGTCGAACGCCGTGTCGCTTGTTCATTCGAGCGTTCAGTCGTATTCTGATGCAATTGACGAGCGTATGCAATTTATACTGCCAGCAGGCGTGTCAGTATTTGCATATTTTGCGTCAATTGGCAAGCTGTCTCCAGCTGGCGTTAGCCCATAAGATTTCAGCAGAAGTGAAGAAGGGGAGGAGTTCCCATACTACGTCATCGACGTAAATGTCTCGTTCCCTGCCTTTCAGGGAACCGAGGTTACGAAAGTAACCGGAGACGTTATTTATAACGTGTTAAAATGTCAAAGAACTACGAGGCTGATACGAGAAAGAGGAAATTCCTAGTAGGGCTGGTATATCGAGTTTGTAAAATATATCTTCTTTTTTTTTAAACGATATGGAATGAGGCAATAACGTTACCGTTTATATCGATACAGTAGTTTGATACGAGCACATATGAAAAATAGCGGAGGACGCAGTGTGAACTCCTGCAGTGAAAGTACATAGTACAATTTGTCCTAAACATGACACAAGCTTATATTAAGCGCTTCAAAATAACTGGTAAGATATAGTTAACAAGTTTAAAGCAGCTTGCCCTGTCAGATGCTCTGACAGATACTGTTAACGTTACTGACTGACAGATAAATACTTGCGCTGTTTAATGCGTTTGAGACGTAGTGCTTTCCTCAGTGCTTAACTTACATTTCACAGGTATATTCTCCATCTGTAAATGTTAGCAAGTCAAACAAATATGTCCATTTCACTGTCAGGAGAGGACGAGCTTCTGCAAGTGAATCTCCGCTAAAATTCAAGCTTCCGTTAAACAGATGAGCACAATAGAACAGTAGCGCTAAAATATACATATTGCTAAAATATTTGTTGTTGGAGACAATATATGTGCCATATGTGGAATTTTAAACCTATAAGTATGTTTTTACGAAAGTGACCATTATAAT